TGTCAAAAATAGATCATGCCAGACAAATCTTATTGCATTCTTTGACCAAGTGACAAAATTAGTGGATCAGAGGAATGCTGTGGACATAATTTACTTGGACTTCAGTAAGGCATTTGATAAAGTAGATCACAACCTACTACTTGACAAGATAGAAAAATGTGGGGTAGAAAGCACCACCACCAGATGGATCCGTAGCTGGTTGACCGGCCGTACTCAGCGTGTGGTCCTCAATGGAACCGCATCTACATGGAGGGAAGTGTGTAGTGGGATGCCCCAGGGCTCTGTTCTGGGCCCAGTGCTCTTCAACATCTATATCAACTATTTGGACGAGGGGATAGATGGGGAACTCATCAAATTTGCAGATGACACCAAGCTGGCAGGAATAGCCAACACTCCAGAAGACAGGCTTAAGATACAGAAGGATCTGGACAGACTTGAACACTGGGCGCTATCTAACAAAATGAAATTCAATGGTGAAAAAAGCAAGGTTCTACATTTAGGCAAGAAAAACCAAATGTACAGGTATAGTATAGGGGGTACCTTGCTCAATAGTAGTAACTGTGAGAGGGACCTCGGAGTCCTAGTGGACAATCACCTAAATATGAGCCAGCAGTGTGCTGCGGCTGCCAAAAGGGCCAACACAGTGCTAGGCTGCATTAACAGAGGGATAGAATCAAGATCACATGAAGTATTAATACCACTTTACAATGTCTTGGTAAGGCCACACTTGGAATACTGCATCCAGTTTTGGTCACCGCGATGTAAAAAAGATGTTGAGACTCTAGAAAGAGTACAGAGAAGACCAACAAAGATGCTTAGGGGACTGGAGGCTAAAGCATATAAGTAACAGTTGCTGGAATTGGGTATGTCTAGTTTAATGAAGAGAAGGATGAGGGGGGACATGATAGCAGTGTTCCAATATCTCAGGGGGTGCCACAAAGAAGAGGGAGTCAAGCTATTTTCCAAGGCGCCTGAAGGCAGGACAAGAAGCAACGGGTGGAAACTAATCAAGGAGAGAAGCAACCTAGAACTAAGGAGAAACTTCCTGACAGTTAGAACAATTAACCAGTGGAACAACCTGCCTCCAGAAGCAGTGAATGCTCCAACACTGGAGGTTTTTAAGAAGAGACTGGACAGCCATTTATCCGAAATGATATAGGGTTTCCTGCCTGAGCAGGGGGTTGGACTAGATGACCTCCTAAGGTCCCTTCCAACATTATTATTATTATTATTATTATTATTATTATTATTATTATTATTATTATTATTATTATTATTATTATTATTATTATTATGGGATGTGCAGCAGACTATGCAAATCTTCAATCCAGGGATATGATTCAAAACTGATTTGGTCAAGTATCTGAACCGCAGGAGCCACTTTGGAAGCAATCCCTAATAGACAGGTTCATGGAAGATAAGGTTACTATTAATACTGGATAAACTGTCTCCAGTAATCAGAGACAAATAACTTTCATTGCAGTTGTTGAAGAACTCAAAAAGAATGACATTGTTTCCACAGATATCCTGTTGCCCATTCGTGAAAAGAATACACGTAGTCCTCAACGTACGACCACAATTGAGCCCAAAAATTATGTTGCTAAGTGAGAAATTTGTTAAGCGTGTTTTGCCCAATTTTACGACATCTGGGCACTGCGACCGTCATAAATGTGAGCCGGTTGTCAAGCATTTGAATGTAAATCACGTGATTATGGGGATGCTGCAACGGTCATAAATGTGAAAAATGGTTATAAGTCACGTTGTTCAGTGCAGTTGTAACTTCGAACAGTCACTAAACAAACTGTTGTAAGTCGAGGACTACCTGTATTGGACTTTATGAACTGGTGGTCTGATTCAATAAATTCTGTGTACTCAAGAGAAGACAACATACACTATGTGTGTATTAGGCAAGTGAGTATTTTGACCATATCACATTGTCCCACATATTTTCCACCTCGAAGCTGTATAAACTTGAATGCTTAGTGGAATCTTATTGAATTTAAGAAGTTAAAAATATCTTATTGTCAGGATACAAAATGTTTGATTACTCTTAATCCCTTCTCGGGTTGCACCTTAAAAAATCTAGTTTCTGAAGTGAAGTCACTTTCCATCATATTTTCAATAAATAATACATATTTAATATCCCCAGCCCTGCAGTCTCAAACTCTGTGGTCAGTTTCAGCTATTAACTCACTTTCATCAGATCCCGGTGATGTTCCAGTACACTGCAGGTGGTCTGCCAGGTATCCTGATAACATTCCCAGGGGTCCACCCTATGATGAAGAAGAAAGAAAAAAATGATTTGGCAATCGCAAATAACAATTACAACTAAAGTATCAATATACACTATTTAATTGCAAACTTTTATTTAAACCATTTCATCTGAAAGGAAGTCAACCCCAAATGCGAGACTGTCTCTTGCCCCAAAGAAATTGGTGAGAGAAAAAATTTGTATTTGGTTCAGGTTCTCGATCTGTCAGCCATTGATATCTGTTTGGGAGAGTTCCCCCCCTCCAATCAAATGCATCTGATCTATTTGTATTATGTGTCATCATCTTATAATGTATAAGTATATCACATCTACCTGATTTTGGTTAATACTGAAAAGTAGGAAGAGATCACCCTGAAATCTGTGCTGTAACAAGTTAAAAAAAAAAACATCCCAGGAAACAGCCATGTTCAAACCAAGTTCATATGGCTGATTAGAGAATTATATGGAAGGAGTAGCCAAACTCAACATGAAGAAAAAGTTTCCTTTACCTTTAATGGGTTTGCTATATAAAGTATGTACTGGCCTGTGGCCACAATCCCCTCCCAAAGGCAAACCAAGGAGGAGATTGAATGACTACCAATTGTAGAATTGTGTTGCTGACAAAGTGAAATCAACTGATTTGGTTGCATACATTCTTATACTGAGCTTATGATACATTTTATGCTTTGCTGACATCACTGATTTTTTTTGCTGGTATCATTACACTGTTTGCTGACTTCAGTATTGGAGGACAGAGAGTAGTCTGCCTTTCTATAAGCGGGCTTTTCAAAAATAATATAAAAGGAACAGATACCGGAGCCAGGAACATCTTGAAATATATCATAGAATTTACACCAGTCCTGCCAATTTAAAGTTAAGATGGTGAGTAGATTTCATAATGGACTTGTCATCTGATTGCAGGATAGTTTACTTGTTCCTTGGCAAAACCTTGCTCAGATCAACTGGAAAATGCTGTCATTTCTTCTTTATCAAACATGACAGAAAATGTAGTAATAAATTGTTGTTTATTGCAGCAACAATCCTGTCATGCTTGCAGTCTTTGGAGCAAACTAACTGTACCAGAGTTTTTCCAATATACTTACGGTCGTGCAGTGTTATCATCAAATAAAACCGAGCTGCTTTTTCTCCTGGGCATTTTTCTCCTGGGCATCTCTCTAATAGCAAATATTGAGGAACTTATTCTACCTTATAAACTTTCTATCTGTAATTTTGAGGAACAGAAGAAGCAAAGACTGAGATTTGAAACTACAAAGCAACGATGTTTTAAGGAGGAGAGAAATAGATGCCTAATGCAGAGGATGGGATTCCTATTCTTTCAAAGGCCACTGCAAGCAACAAAAATAGATCTACTGGCTGAAAGGGAAGCGTGCTTATGGAAACCTGCCTGGCACAGAAAAAAAAGCCAGAATTAGACTGAAAAGAGAAATTTAAAATTGTGTAATGGATTAAAAGGCAATGTTGGATTTATGGACTGTTTTAAGGATTACGATTTAGAGTTAGAAGCAAGAAAAATACATATATATATATATATATAGGAGGGTGATTATTAGAATAGATATTTTAAATAGATTAAGAATGTATTTTTTGGAATAATAGATTTATTTTGATGAAAATTATTATGTATTGGAATTGAAAAATGTTGACTGTTTAGATTTGGATGGTTTCAATAATTAATGGAGTGTTTTAAATTAGTAAGATGACCTTTCTGTATGACAACATAGACGTGATAAGGCATGATAATCAATCGGATGAAATTTGAATTTTGTTTAATGAATTCAAATGAATTAAGGTTTAACATTACTTTGTTATTCTAAAGAGATTGATTGACTGTGGGATTATATATGTATAGAGTAGATTAATATTTTATTTTTATTAGGATATCTATTGTGTAGTGGAAGAAGAAATAAATGAGATTGGTGATAAAATGAGGGATGTGAGAGATTAAGAATTAGAATATATCTGGAAGGGATACCTGAATTGATAACTTGTTGATTTAAAGTTAAATTTGTTTATGGTAATTGTAACTGATAAAGTTATAAAACAGGTTTAGTAGTAATAGAAATTTAAATTAGAAATGGAATATTTTAAACGTATTATGTTATCTGAGGGAAATAGAGAGGGGACAGTGAATGTATTGAGTTGAGTTGTTTATATATGTTTTTACTTTTGAATGTTTGATTACCCAAACACCACGGTGGGTCCCGAGTACCCTTTCTTAAGAATTTAAAAAACCAATAAAATGTGTTTAAAAAAAAATTGAGATGAGATGAGGGAGGAATGTGGAAAACAGAAGTGTGACATTAACCCAAACAAAAATGAAGGAAAGGTCCAGTACAGGAGTGCTTGCACTGAAATGTGTGTGGGAGTTGGGTGTAAAAAAAAAAAAAGATGATGGCTGCACAAGGTACATGTTAACACCTCCCTTACTTGTTAGATTTATATCCCACCTTACTTCAGGAGCTCAAGATGGTATTCCTAGGAGGAGGGAGCCTTAACATCCCCACAACATCCAGTGAGCTTTGTTGGCTGAGGGTGGACCCTTATGATTACAGGTAGTCCTCGGCTCACAACATTCATTTAGTGATTGCTCGAAGTTACAGTGGCACTGAAAGAATGTGACTTGTGACTATTTTCCACACTTACATATGACCACTGCAGCATGGTCATGTGATCAAAATTCAGATGCTTGGCAACTGACTCAGCATCAGCTTTCGGCTGATGCTGTGTAACGCCAGGTCCACGGTTAATAAAGCCCCCCTCATTTATGATTTGGTATCGGAGGGGGAGGTGGACCTGGCGGATATTACGGAGACCTGGCTGGGCCAAGAGGAGGGGTGCCCCTCGTTGAAATGTGCCCGCCAGGCTACCATGCATTTCACCAGCCGAGAGCCCAGGGTCGGGGTGGGGGGGGGTGGCGGTTATTATTAAGGAAGGCCTGGATCCAAGGGAGACCACTGTGCCGCAGACTGCCGGTTGTGAATCCCTAGGTGTGAAGTGGGGTCATGGGAGGCAGCAGGGCGTGCTGATTGTATACCTGGCTCCCCGCTATGTATCAGCAGCCCTATCCGAGCTTCTCAGTGTGATAGCCGAGATGGCGATTGAGACCCCCAGACTGTTAGTCATGGGGGATTTCAATCTGCCATCGTTAGGTGAAGCATCTGAGGTGGCTCGGGAGTTCATGGCCTCCATGACGGCCATGGACCTGACCCAATTAGTAGATGTCCCTACCCACACCGGAGGACACACACACTGGACTTAGTTTTTGCCTCCGGCCAGTGGCTGAGTGATCGTGGTTTAGGGGAAATAGTTGTTGAGCCCCTGTCATGGTCAGATCACTCTCTCCTTCGGCTGGCCCTTCCTACTGCTATGCCCCACCGCGGGGAGGCGGAACCAGAAGTGATGAAATGGTTCTGCCCCAGGCGCCTGATGGACCCTGAGAGGTTCCAGACGGAGCTTGGGCCAATACCTGAGACCTTGACCCGCCGCTCGACTGAGGACCTGGTGGCCGCCTGGGATGGTGCGGCCGCGGGGGCCCTGGACCGGGTCGTGCCTTTGTGGCCCCTCACCTGATGCCGGTCTACCTTGGCTCCTTGGTTCTCCGAGGAGCTGAGGGTAATGAAGCGTCGGAAGAGATGCCTAGAGAGTAATTGGAGGGCCACCCGCTCCGAATCCAATCGGAAATTGGTAAAGTCCCATTTAAGGACTTATCTAGTAGCGATAAGAGCGGCGAAACAAAACTATTTCGCTCTTATCGCGTCTGCAGGTAACCGATCTGCCGCCCTGTTTAGGGTGTCCCGTTCCCTCCTTCATCAGAGGGTCCGGGATGTCCCTTTGCAGGGTTGGGCAGAGGAATTTGGGTGTTACCTGCATGACAAAATCGATCGGATCCGGGCCGGGTTAGCCTCCAATTGGACTAGTTCAGGCGGGCCAATGGAGGCAGGTCTTGAGTCCATTTTGTGGGAAGAGTTTGATCCTGTGACTCCCGAGGACATGGACAGGATGTTGGGACGGCTGAACACCACCACATGTTTACTGGACCCGTGCCCCTCCTGGCTGGTACTGGCCTCCCGGGAGGTTACACGAGGCTGGCTCCAGGGAATCGTCAACGCTTCTTTGAGTGAGGGGTTCTTGCCGGCCGCCTTGAAAGAGGCGGTGGTGAGGCCCCTCCTCAAGAAGCCCTCCCTGGACCCAGTTGTTTTGGCCAACTACCGTCCTGTCTCCAACCTTCGCTTTCTTGCGAAGGTTGTTGAGAGTGTGGTGGCACGACAGCTCCCTCAGCACCTGGAAGAAACTGTCTATCTAGACTCGCGCCAGTCCGGCTTCCGGCCTGGGCACAGCACGGAAACGGCATTGGTCGCGTTGGTTGATGATCTCTGGAGGGCTCGGGATAGANTGTTATTTAATTTGATTTTAGACAGAAATTTGTGTATATTTATTGTGGTTTTTATTATCGCCTGTTCACCGCCCTGAGTCCCGTAAGGGAGATAGGGTGGTATATAAATTCAATAAATAATAATAATAATAATAATAATAATAATAATAATAATAATAATAATAATAATAATAATAATAATAATAATAATAATAATAATAATAATAATAATAATATTTATGATGGTTGCAGAGTCCCGGGTCATGTGATCACCTTTTGTGACCTTCCAGCAAGCAAAGTCAATGGGGAAGCCAGATTCACTTAACAACTGTGTTACTAAGTTAACAATTGCAGTGATTCCCTTAATAACTGTGGCAAATAAGGTCGTAAAATGGGACAAAAGTCACTTAACAAATGTCTCACTTAGCAGCAGAAAAGTTGGGCTCAATTGTGATCATAGGAAGAGGACTACCTGATTTATGATAGACTGAAATATGGAATGAAGAAGACAACCTCATATACCACACTATGTGCATACAGTACGTTAAGTGGTCACAATATTAGCATATTATCTCAGTATGAGTGACAACTCTAGTAAGAATGGGCTAATACAGATGGATTTGGATACTGACAAACTATATATCTCACTCTGGCATGATGGGATGCCAAATACTAGTTCGTTTCCAGAGGAATAATATTCCTAGAAAATACATATTTAAAAGATTATAAGAAGAAATCAAAGGCGATAAGAAATGTGGTAGGTGGAATTTGTCTGCTTTGTACAAAAATTCGACCAAACAAGGAACAAACAGTTATGCTAGAAAGGAACACACTATCCTAGTATTCCATATTTGTTTGTTTTACAGCATTTCTTAGCTTAAAGGAGCTGTGGGAACTGAAATCCTACATTACTGATTAAAACCTGACTCCTATTTGGCTCTACATTTTATCAGGATCTTATTGAATCAAGCCTATTAGATAGGTGGTCTGTTGGGTTCCTATCCATTTCCATATTGTAGAGTTTTTGAAATACTGACTCCTCATTCACCAGTTGAATCCTATGCAGGAAGTACAGCAGTACACTGCAGCTATGCCAATTTCTCACATTTGGACAAGTCAGCGAATGTACTGTGAAAATATGCCCAAATTCCCAGGTTCTCCAGCATCAGCCTGCTTCTTTTTTTTTTAAGCATCAAAATGTGATAGGCTGAGCTGGCAGTACCAGCTCTTAATTGAATACTTGATGAACTGCTAAATTGAGCTGTTTCTCAAACATGCTCTTAGCAGCCAATTTTTTTCTCATGTTCTCCATCTTAGATTCTCAGAGATGTGAAGTTGCTAATTAAAACGCTTTTGCTAATAATTTTGCTAATTGCTCATTCATGAAAAAAAGAGGCTATTCAAGATAACTATGGTGGGGAGGGGTTAATGAGTTAATCTAAGGTTGATTTACTTAATAAGACATCAGCCTCACAACTCCAAAAGAACACAATTAGACCAAGCCTGAAATACCTGCAAATCTTGCTACTGAAACAGGCCATAAGCTCCCAGGGGCATATTAAATGAGAGGCCTGTTTTGCTAGCAGCACAAAACACTGTCAAAAATTTGATCATGGATCTAATCAGAGTAGGCAAGCTTTGGCCTACAGACTTCATACAGCTCCAAAACCTTTGAAAAATAGATCAAATTTAGGCAGCACAAATTTCAGGTTAAATTTTACACTTGCTTCCTATGACAGGAATGCCTATAGATGTAGACTTTGTATCGATAAATATAATAAAATAGGGGAATCGTTTATCCCAAATATAGAAGGTAAAAAGAAGCATGCTATTCATCTATATTATATAACATATCTTACTTTCTAATTTTCCACTGTATTTTTCCACTTATTTTTTTAAGCACATGTATTTTTTGATGTACATACCGTGTTTCCCCGAAAATAAGACCCACCCCAAAAATAAGCCCTAGCCTGATTTTTTGGGCCTAATATAAGCTCTACCGCAAAAAATAAGCACAGGGGGGTGGGCGTGGCCAGCACAAGCAGTGGAGAGCACGTGGGGGCCAACGGTGTCCAGCAGCAGCAGCAGCAGCCCACTGACCTCTTGGCACAGCACAGGTAAGTCCAAGTGCGGAGGCAGAGGGGGGGAGGCAGGTGATCTGGACTCGCTGAGCACTTTTCACCCAGAGGGAGACTGGAAGCTTTGTCTGTTTGCGAATGGGGCGCTTAGAAACCAAGCAATTTGCTCCGTCTCCAAGCGCCACATTTCCAAGCAGACAAAACTTCCAGTCTCCATCATTTCTCCATCCAGGTGCAAAATGTTTGAGTGCCTATGGGGCGTTTGGAAATGGGAGCGCTCTGGAAAAAAAATAAGACATCCCTGGAAATAAGATCTATTGCCTCTTTTGGAGGCAAAAAAAAGTATAAGACTGGGTCTTATTTTTGGGGAAACAAGCTATCTCTGTTTGTTCTTTTTCTTTTTTCTGTTATTTTAAAAGCAATAAATTTTTTATAAAAAATAGTTCATGCCATCTGATCATAGTTAGGGCTGACAAACCACAGATCCTAATATAGACCTAAATAAATGCTTTCACGTATATTCTAGATTGGCTGTCTCAAATCTGACCCAAAGCAACAAATTACTGATATACCTATCAGTAACTTCTTGCTTTGAGAAGTTTCTGTGAGGGGCTATTCCCAGTAAAATCAAGGTGCACTTGAAAAAAAACAACCTGTTCTTGCAAGAGTGGTTGGGGCAAACATTTTGCCATCTTAGGAAACCTTCAGATATGTTGACTTCAATTCCCAGAATTTGCATGACCATTGGTAAACATTCATGACATTGAAGACCATACCTGTGGAGGCTGCCCAAGCTGCTGAAGGTATATTTCATTTCATTTCAAATGTATGTATCCACTCACTTAAGAACAATTATCAAGAAAAGGAAACTTCCACATCTCCATCAGGTTTTAAAGACTGAAAAACAGTGTCTTCTTGTTGCAGCTGGCATTTTAGTTTGCAAACCTGCTGCATCTTAGCATTTCATAAGAGAGAACTGTGTTCTGAATCAGAAAACCATGGATCCCAGACTCTGAGTCAGGGACATCTGCTGGAGGATCAGGAGGTCAAGACAGCTGCACAATCAAAATGCTGCCCCTTTTTATATTTGTAATATAAGCAACACCTGTAAAATGAGGGGTGGGGCTTTGGTTGGACAGTTGTAGCCATCATCTGGACTTTTGTTTTTAGACACTGCTGATGTCCCTGCCATGAAGCAGCTTATCCTGAGTACCACACAAATAGAAGAACTCAAGCCACTGCAGAGAATATGAGTGATCAGATGTGCTATTATACCTTATCCAATCAGAACTCTGAACAGCCAGCTGACACATTGCCAGGCGATGCCGGCTGGAAACCAAACCCTGTAAAGAAATAAATGTCAGAATTAATGAAGGGAGATTCTGGATTATTAGACTTTTTAAAGGCTAAATTAAAGAATAACTGCTTTATTAGTCTTAGGCTTCAGAGTCCAATTCGAGCTCATTTATTGTGATATTTGCTGGGTAAACTTAATGGTCCTCAGTTCTCTAATTCAGAGATGAGCAGTGCCAAACCATCGTCAGACACTGTTGGACGGACTTCAGACTGGAACTGTCACAAATCACATTGCTAAATGTCAGCAGCAGACTATCAAGAATGGGCGCACAATTTTTGCCAATTATTGGTAGGAAAAACTAGAAAAAATACAGGTTCAATGCAGCATAAAAAAACTGCCATACTCTTCAAATGAATTCCCCAAAGTCCCAATCTTGCCATGTCATCATTTTAGCAGATTTTGCTGCTCCAAATAATTTTTCAAGAACAGTCCCTAGATACTTAAAAGTTTCCTATTTCTATCCTAGCCTTACATACTGTATAAATATTTTTCCTTCCTATCTGCTTTTAGATTGCCAGTGTTACCTATAAGCTACCTAATCTAAAATCAACTAACTATAGGGTGGTCAAATGTCAGAGAAAAAGTTAGGCATCTGCATTTTTAATAAATATGTAGGAAGAGAATTTCAGGTGGCAAAACTTTTCTTTTAAGAGCAGAAAAAAATAAAGGATGTCACCATCTGATTAGCCTGTTCTTTACAATAATACCGAGTTACAGAACAAAAATTAAAGTGAGACACTTTTTTTTCTCAACTACGTGAGATCTTTTTAAATGGAGATGGTAACAAAAAAAAAAAGTCTGTGAAGGATTACTCCATTCTGTTGCATTATGTATTATGGCCATGTTTGATGAAAACAGTAAAGCATGATCTCTTGTTCTTTTCCCCAAACGCCACTGTAGCTGGTTCACAGGGATCCAGTGGGAACTAAGTGATAATTTTAGAAAATGAACTATCCCATGATGACACTGGCATAGAGCATTGTGTTTCAGATGATAATTTAAAAATCAGAAGAAATGTATCATGACAAATTAATGAAGAAAAAAATCATTTAACCCATTAATCCACAAACTTGCCACTTTTATGCTATAAATTGCTTACACTAGTTGCCTTCTCCAACTAGTGCATGTCCTACCTGAAAAAGGTAAACATTTTAATTGAGAGTTTCAGCAACAGATGTCACACTTGTTCATCTTAGGATGCCTAGTATTCATTCCCCACAGTTTTGATTGTGAACAAGGAAGAAAAGAAAAAAGAATACACCCACCTGTTTTCCATATGAGTCATGTACGGGTGAGACTATTCCACCGATGACAATGAATCTTCCTGTCTTGTGTAGATAATCTCGGGCTCTTTCTAGTGAAAAAAAGACAGGAAAGAAGAGAGGCACAAATTACTGTAATGCTTAAACTCTAACCACATGAAAAAGCCTGCAAAATGAATAGAAATGTGTTGCTGTTCAGGACAGTCAGTCCTTCCAAAATAGTTTTCAGTTACCATAAGAGAGCCATTGACCCCAATGTGTATGTAAATTTAACAATTCAAGTTATTGGTTATTAACTACCTTCCTCAGCATATAGAATATCCACATTGGTTCCTCAGAGTAGAACATCCATATGATAATTTAGTTAAATGGAATTTCTTTCCTCTGAAAGTCTATACTAACACACAGTATAAGGCCTTGGGTACAAACTTGACAGAGTCTCCAAATGTTGCCAGATTAGAATATTTAAGGTAATAGAGAAATTATTGAATACATGTGTTCCTGCAGCCTGCTCATGAGGAACAGCTTTCTGGGGTGCAAGTGGGCAATCTTATGATTTTTTTCTTTTTTCTCGAGAGTCTTTGGTGGCCAGAATTTGCTGTCTGGCCACCAATCTCCACCATAATGCTGTCTCCACTCCTTCAGGGACATCAAGTTCACCATGAAGTTTTTGTGAACTGCTTGTGAATTGGATGCTGAGAGGAATTTCAGTCAAGATCATAAGCTTAATGCAGCCTATATAGGCATAAGACTTGCACAAGCCTAATTTCTTAACCATTGTTAGATGTAGCTAATTTACAGTTAAGGAGCAACAGGATAAAAATTCCACTTGGTGAGTTATTATTCTTTCTGGATTACAAAGACTTTAAAACCTTTCGACAAAAAGCTTAAAAAGGAATCAATCCAGAAAAGTTTAAAATGAATAAAGGAAATAGTTATTTTGAAAGATTACTGTTTATGAAAGTGCTTTTGAATAAATTTGAATTAAAAGAAACAAGCAAATTAGACTTTTATGGAAATATTTTTGTTTACTATTAAAGAGGGCAGACAATTGGTGTACCCCACTCATGCTAGCGCTGTACTGAGTGTCGCATGGGTGCTAGCTCCACCCTGAGTGTTGCGTGGGTGCTAGCTCCACCCTGATTGTTGCATGGGCGCTAGCCACGCCCTGAGCATCACACAAGCATTAGCCCCATCTTGAGTGTCACGCGGGTGCTAACCCCACCCTGAGTGTTGCATGGGCACTAGGCCTGCCCTGAGTGTCACGTGGGCATTAGGCCCTGCCTGTAACTATGGAGTGCAACGAGATCAAATATTAAGGGCACAGGAAAACAAAACAGAAAAAATAGGGATGGAGAAGCTTGGGGGGAGGGGGGTTTGAGACACTTGTGCTTTTAAATTATAATATAATGACAATGACCAGAAGGGCAGCAAAAATGGAGGAAAGGAGAGAATCATTAGACTACCTGCAGACAGATAGCAGCAGAGGTTTCAGTTATGTTTTGTCAAGAAAGTGAAAGAATTTCTTTTTTTTTTTTAAAGAAAATTGGAGGAGATTCAAATAAGAGTATCAGATAAGACTACACAAAAACTTCAACAGATGCAACAGGAAACCGAAAGGGATAATATTGAAGTAGGCAGCTAGAGGTATTAATTTTTGTAATGTTTTGTCTTTATTATAGATTACAAATATTTTAAAAGTATTGATGAAGGAAATGCTGTTCAAAATAGAAAAAAGTCATTATTTAAAAAACTTAAACTAAAATTTAATTTGCCTACAAGAGACACATAGTAGAAAATTGGACATAAAATATTTGATTTATAAAAAATTAGGTAAAGAATTTATTTCAGCAGAAAGAAACAAAAAAATGAGTGGTTTTGTACATAAATCCCCAGCTTAAACCAGAATTTGTATTGACTGATGAGCATAGCAGATTTGTTGGGATGGAAGTTAATTTGCATGGGATTAGGATTTTGATATAGGAATTTATGTCCAAAAGTATTCTTTTCTAAAGGACTTATGTAGAAATTAATAGGTTTTTCTAATGAAAAAGTATGCTTCATGAAGGATTGGAATGAAGTGATCTTACCCCAACTGAATTAAACTTTTTGGGGGAAAATATCAAAATCACTCAAGGCCACTTACCAAATGTTTTCTTTGATTTGATGGACAATTTAGGACTGATTGATATACAAAATCAGAAAATGGCAATTCAAGAAACTATACTTACTTTTCTGAAAGGCATGTCTATTCTTTTCAAGAATAGACATAAATTGTATTTCAAAGAAAGTGGTTACTAAGCTTTCTAAAGTAGAAATATTACCAAATATTTTTTTTCTGGATCATACTTCTGTGAGTTTGGTTTACAAATAGAAATCTAGTTCCTTTAGTTGGAGACTAAATGAAATGTTATTACAGAAAGAAGCAATAGTGGAGAATTGTAAAAAGTAATTAAAATACCTTTTTGAAAATAATTTAGGTAAAGGCACTGATTTATAAATAGTTTGGGATGCAATTAAAGTTTTTGTTAAAGGTTATTTTATGCATAAGAGTCTTTAAAAAAAGAAGGGGGAAACTATTTTGAATGAAACGAAGAAAAAAGAAGAAAAATTAAAGAAATTTTTAGGTAAGATATATATTTCTCAACAAATTAAACATTTACAAAATGATTATCTACCTTAATAGTAAAAGAAATATAAATAAAAATGAATTATGTAAAGGAAACAAAATGAATTTGCAAATAAGCCAGGGAAGTGGCTAGCTGGCCTATAAATTATGGGGCGGAAAGAAAAAGAAAGAATGAGATATTGAAATTACAAGAGGGAGATACTGTATTAATTGACAATGAAACCATACAGAAGTGATATCTCTCTGGAGAACATAAATGAATAATCTAAAGAAACAAAATTTACTGAAAATTACAGAGGAACACAGATAAATTATGAATGGATCTATAAAAATAAGGGAAGTCTTGGAAGCTATAAAGTATTTCCTATTAAACTAGGAAAAGTTCCTGGACCAGATGTATTATCAGGTTCTTATTATAAATGTCTTGAAGATGAACATTTCCAACATTTACAAAAAACAATAAACTCTACCCTACAGGGAAGAAGGCAAAGAATTGAAAAGAGGCCAAAACAATATTAATACTTAAAGAGGGACAAGATTTGACTTTAACAAGAAACTGTAGGCCAATATCATTACTGAATAATGGCCGTAAGTTGTTCATAATAATTGTAACTAATAGAATGAAAATATTTTTTCAATAATTTATTCATGACGATCAATGTGGGTTTTTACCTAAAAGTCAGCTAAAGGACAGTATTAGTAATGTGTTAGACATTGTATAATATTTGGAGCATCAAAATAAAACAAGTTTCATTTATCTTTGCAGATGCAAATAAGGCCTTTGACAATCTGAACTGGGATTTTTTTGTTCAATGTTTTGGAAAACATGAATTTTGAAGAGAACTTTATAAAATGGGTAAAGTAGGTTTACATTTTGAAAGCACAAATAATTGTTAATGGAGATCTAACAAAACCCTGGGAAATAAGGAAAAAAATCAATGGAGGGAGCCTACAGTCTTCTCTCATATATTTTGGTTCTTGAAATTCCAAATAATGATATAAAACAAGATGAGAAGATTGTGGGAAAAAGATTTTTTTTAAAAACTTATAAATTAAGGACTTTGGCAGAGGGCTTTCTGTTGGTTTTGGAAGATCCTTTAGAGCAGGGGTGTTAAACTATTGACCCACAGGCCGGATGCGTCATGCCAAAACTGTGCCCACCCCAGTTCTGGCAATGGGCAAGTACCTCATCCCTATTTCTTTAGTATCTTTTCTGAGGCGGAATGCCCAAAATTCTATATATCATTCAAAGAATATTCCAAAATTTGTAAAATACATTATGGGAGTAGCAATTTTATTATAGATTCCTTACTTAATGTTCCCTAATGTATAATCAAAATTTCCTACTTAGCGTCAGAAAAGATCTGACCATTATATATGTGAAGGTCAATATTTTGTGCCACAATATGTATCCCAATGAACCACCTTTGCCATTGTATGAGCCTCAATTTAGCTTAAGTTTCTTTCTTTTTAATCTTTTTATTACCATGAATAATTTAATGTACATCTACATATGTGACCATTGTACCTTTGACCCTAATTTCAGAGAATAAATATCTTAAAATACAGCAGCCTTAATACAGATTCATGGAGAACCTATACTATTTTGGAGTTGGAAGAAGAAGCAAAGAAATTGGGGATCACTATTACATATTCATGCTTACAGTGGGAGCTGGAATGGAATAAAT